CAACTTTCACTTTCACTTTATCTGACCAAGAAAGACATGAAAAATGACTATCTACAGTTTCCACACTTTCATTTGAAAGGAAATTTTCAGCACACACAAAAGGCATCATCTCAGAATAAGAATAGTTGAACAAGTTTAGTTTGAGGAGAAACTCAATCTCTGCCCTTTGATTTCCCTTCCGACCAAGGCCATCTTCATCCTGGGCTTTCAGATCAGGCTTGGGAAGTGCTGGCCTAATTACACAGGGGAATATGAGGGTGGTGCCCTCCCCTGCCCCACGGGGGGAACAGACCATGGTCAACTGCACTGCTGGCGCTGGCAGTGGGTGCTCAGGTTCTCCCCCCCTCCTCCCAAACTCTGCCCCGCTGGGCGCTGGATGAGGGCGGGGAGGATGACCAGGCGGTTAAACAGCACCAGATCCATTAGAGGCGGCGAAGGCTGCTGGCTCAGCCTCACCCACAGAGAACATGGGTTCCATCAGAAACCCCTGCTGCTCCTGGAGGGACCTGTTCACCTTTCCCCATCTGGTCCTGAGAGGCAGCGGGAGGGCTTGCGGAGCCCAAGGAGAGGAGGTACAAGTGTCCCAAATCCTGGCCCCACGGGCAAGTCCTGCCCTCACTTCCTGACTTATTGCCTGTGTGACTGACGGAGGCAGAGGTCCTGACCTCTGGCCATCAGCAGCCTAGTAGGACAAAAGAGGTGAGTGGACTGGATGACCACTCAACAACTGGAAGCCCCTCAACAACACCCCTAAGGGATGCTCCCCTGGGGTACCCCCAGCCCCACTCCACCCCTGTCCCAGGCATAGCCTAGGTCTCCTCTGCTTTCAGAAAAATCTCCGTGGGAACCTCTTGCCATCGGAGGGGAGGGAGTCTGTAGAGAGGCATCTGAGTTTCTAACCACAGGTGTCTCCACCAGGGTTCTGTCTCTAACCACCAACAGGTTGCCGTCCAAAAGAATGATCACCCAGGGCAGGCCCTGCTAAGAATAAGGAGCTGGCTCTCCCGGCAGCGTTGAGTGACCTCCCATTCTGTTTCTGTGTGATCAGAAAGGGGCGCCGCAGAAGAACGGAATTCAGTCAAAGGGCATTGTTCTTTTCCTACTAGGTGCTAAACAGACCTGAAATACAGATTTACGTCTGCAGGTGGTAGCGGGAAGCTGCTGGCTCAGTCTCCCACAGAGAGCATAGATTCCATCCAAGAACACACGCAATACAACCCCCTCCTGTGAGTTTTGGCCACGTCATAAACACCCTCCACCTGGTGCCTGAGGGCTTCGCCGTTCAGGGGGAATACTTCACGGAGAGGCAGCCCATTATGATTTGGAAAGAATGCAGCACACCTGAAGAGCCGAGCCTCAGAGACTCTCCATTACCCTCCCAAGGTCAGCGAGCAGGAGAGGTAGGGCTCAGACCCAAGGCTTCAAGTTTATTTTTTTTATCTCTACATGACCCATGCATTTACTTATTCACTAGTTTATTCATTCATTCAGTCAACATTTTCAAGGGCTTAGCATGTCAGTTCACAGTCCGGTGGGGAAGACAGACACATAAATGACAGTGACAATGTGGTTGTGTGCTGAATACCTGCAACACCAAAAGGAAAAATCTTGGCAGTTGAGTTGTCATGTAGTGTAAGGGAGATGGTGCAAAAGGAGAGGTGTGTGTGCAAACAACCCTGTGTACAGAGAGATTGGTACCGGCTATGTGGGGATGGGGGCTTCCTGGAAGAGGTGGCATGGTGCCAAGCCATTGTCAGAAGAAAAAAAGGGTGCTCATCAAGATGGGACAGTCAAGACAGCAGACCTAAAAATCACAGGAGAAAGGGGCAGGTGAAGATTGTGGGCACTGGCTAAGGACAGAACTGGCTCAGGGCTGACAAATTCAAAGCAGTCACAGGAGCCAGCATGAGGCAGGATACATTTTGAACTTTTATTTATTTTTTTAAGATTTTTTTTTTTGATGTGGACCATTTTTAAAGTCTTTATTACATTTTCTTGTTTTTTTACAATATTGCTACTGTTTTATGTTTTGCCTTTTTGGCCACCAGGCATGGTGGATCTTAGATCCCCAACCAGGAATTGAACCTGTATCCCCTGCATTGGAAGGCAACATCTTAACCACTGGACCACCAGGAAAAGTCTCAATTTTTAACTTTTAAAATTATATTTTTTCTTTTTTCCACCAGAAAAGGACACAAATTTTTACTGGACCACTCAGTGAATGCTTACAAAGTGAATGCAGTTGCAGGAAACATGCAGCTGAGAAGGATTCCAGCACTCTACAACACAGCCGCCGAGCCCCAGAGCCCAGAGAAACAGAAACTGTATGGCCCTTAATTAGTCACTATCTCCCATCCAGTAATCACAATGCTGATTTCTGAAAGCACGTATCAGTTTCACCAGTCTTTGTACTTCATATAACATGGAGTCTGCACTCTCTTGTGATGGGATTTTTAAGTCAACATCTATGTTTGATTACCAGGAACAAAGCTGCCAAGAGCATTCTTTTCCATGTCTTGTTGATGGATGGAAGTAGGGGTTTCTTTTGGATCTTTACCTAAACATGAGATCGTGGGGTCATACATAGGCTAGGAATAGATGCAGCTTTACCACCAAATTTGGATTTGTCACGTTTTTCGAAGCAGAGCCAGGGGCAGGGAATTGTATTAATTAAGGACGCTTTGATTTGTTCTCAAGCACCGAAAAATACAGCTTTGATCAACTTGGGGTGGGGTGGGGGGAGTATACATTGGCTATCGAATAAAGCAGGAGTCTAGAATTGGGACGCCTCTAAGAATGAGGGCAATTTGGGTGCCTAGGGACTCGAGGCTGGCAGACAAGTGTTCCAGCTCTGGCATCCTCTCATAGCTTTATTCTCTATTGCACATGGGCTTTCTCTACACAGTGGAAAACTGGTTGCTGGCAGTCCCTGGTTTCTCAGCAACAGGTTAGTAGGTGACAGTCCAGACACTGTAAGAAAGGGAAGTCGTCTCTCTCCCTAGCTTCAGCATACAAAAAAAAAAAAAAAAAAAAATTGGTGAGGGGCTTCCCTGGTGGCTCAGTGGTAAAGATCCCGCCTGCCGATGGCAGGAGACACAGATTCCGTCCCTGAGCCGAGAAGAATCCCACATCCTGTGCACCACAGCTATTGAGCCTGTGCTCTGGAGCTCGGGAGCCGCAACCTCTAAACCCACCTGCGGCGGCTCCGGGGGCCCGCGGGCCCTCAAGGCCCCGCTAGGCAACAGGAGAAGCACCAGAAGCCCCGCACCGCGGCTAGGGAGGAACCTCCTGCTCCCCGGCAACTAGAGGCAGGCGCACGCGGCAACCAAGACCCAACACAGCCAAAATCAAACAAATAAAATTATTAAAAGAAAACACATTTTGGGGAAGGTCACTGGTAAACCTACCCCTGACCAAGCACCGGGGTCAACAGAAAAGGCAGCAACGTGGTGGGACCAGGATGGATCCATGAGGGCCCAGGGGTTGAGTGCCAGTTAAAAAAAAAAGAAAAGTCACATGAGAAGTAGGGGAGGAGGAGGTACCCCCAGAAAATCCACAGCAGATAAACAAGGAAAGCGACGCCAAACAGCGAAAATGAAAGGCGCCCCCTAGACTGTGGAAGGCGATGGCCACCTGCCCAGCGAGCTCGCCAAAGCTTGACTTAGGCTTTAAAACACCCCAACGTAGAGACAATTAGCTCCATTTTAACTGATGAGAGTACTAAAAACTTACTTCCAGAGTGAGGAGTCCAGTGATGTGACCCAGCCCTTTGTTGGTTGAAAATGCCCAGAATATGAGAAGCTCTTAAAACTGTTGGCGTCGCTTCTTCCGACGGGATGAAGGTGGGCAGAGAGTAGGAATTTCAGGCTTTGAATAGTCCTTCTTTTAAAGCCTCTGGCACTCCTGGCATTTGGAAATTCCCGGAAACTTCACTGGAAAGGCCCCTGGCTGTGGCCGCCTCCCGCGTTTTTTGCAGTCAACTTATTTGCAGCAAATAATTAAGCTGCATAATTAACTGACGTAAGGCGATTTTGTCGTAAAAGATGACCTAGCTGACTGCCTGATACACAGAAAACGAATCACGACAGTCGATGATGATTTGCCCCAAGTGTTACATTTCTTCTTTTCAAACACATTACGTTGGAGGAGAAAGAGGCCGAGGGCCTGGAAGGAAGGTGCAGACCGGGACTCACATCTCCCACAGAACTCTGGAACTTCTATCAGCGGACCTGTGACAACATCCTAGTAGAGCGCACAGCGGTGTAGAAGGCCTTCACTGCCCAGTACAGAGCTAAGTGACAAATATGCATCCTAGAATTTGAAAAGTGATCATCTGTACATCTTTTAATGAAGCAAGACACTTTACGGAAAAAGTGCAATGCTGAATGAGGAAATGAAATCAACAAGCAAAAAAAAAAAAAAGTACAAAATACCATGAACATAAGACGTAGGAGACAAGTGTTTAGGTACAGCCTCCAAAGTAAAATCAGTTATTTGAGCAGTATTACCATGAATCTACACACATTTTAAATGTATTCAAGTGTTTATATTTTGCCATTACTTAAAAAAAAAAATTTGTTACTCATTGTTCATGTTTCATTATGTTGTTCTTAATGCCCCTCTTCTATTTTCCATTATTTTATCTTTCACAGCAAAATTACCGTATGGACAATTAGTTACAGCAAAAATTTTCATGGAAAAGATGTTTACAGCAAAGAAACTTGTGGCAAAAATACCTGGAACCATCTGTGTCAGTAACTGGATTGTGCAGAAGAAATGACAAAAACTGGCTCCTTTGGGTTGCTGGTGCCCCAAACCCCTGCCAGATGGTCAGGCCAAGCAGCTCAAGTTTCAGCGAATTATGGACCATCATTAGGACTCTATTTCATGTTCTTAGATGCTCTGCGCCTTTCCACGAGGTGACACTGATTTCTTAAACTTGTATGACAACATAATGAATGCATGTAAGTGAAGTGTCCAATGAAATGTGGAACAATCAGTGAATTCTTTGCATATTTTATTTTTCTTTTTTTGATTTCCAACTCACACACATCTGGCATATTTTACATCTTTGCAATAAAACATGGTTACAATAGCTTAAGGAATTTATATATCCAAAATATTTCACCATGATCTCAAGATGAAATGAACTTGTCTTCCAGATGTTCATTATCCTCCCAATTCTAAGCTACAAACTCAAGATATTGCTTACAGCCTGGTGATGAATAACTTAATCATTACGCTGATTCCCCAGAATTTCAGAATCTCATAAATACAAACAACAATGAAGAAGGAATTCAGTGCTAAAACTTACTAGTACAAGGTGGATAACAAATAAGTAATCACATCAATAAATAATGATATGGTTCTGGTGCAAAGTGCCAATACAAAGAACCCATTATCTTGTTTTATCTTTTTAAATAAATGACTGCAAGTGAGTGTAAGTTCTGAGAAAATTACATTCCTGTAACATGCCTCATAGCCCTACCGACACAATATGTACATCTATGACGATACGGTCACCAAATATACAAAGAAGAAACATGAATAAAGTGTATATACCCCTGGGTGTATAACTTGATCAGTACAATGTATGGAAAATCATTTGATAGCGTCATTTTATATCATAAAAGATGAAGTGCCTTAGGCTAAGAATGTGGCTTTAGGTGAGAATTGCACAAGAACCTAAAAGAATTACTTCAGTTATTGTTATAATAAAGTCTGACTTATTTATTAAAGAAACTAAGCTATTCAAGAACCAAAGAGAGAGAAAAATAAAAAATCAGCAAAAACAAACAAACAGAAAAGGTTAGCATCAGATCTCCTCCCCTAATGTACACACGCTAAGCCAGCAGGATGAGTCTGGAAGAGTGGCCCGGGGGCTGGGAGTCATTACTAAGGAACTAACGATCGGGATTCCTACTCACACAGTAAAACCAGGACCTCATCTCTAAGCCCCCTTTCTGCTGTGTCTTCAGATTACGAAGGGTAGGGCTGAATTTTCTTTGTATAAAGTACCAAAAAATGGCAAATAATGGCTTAGTATCCAAATGCTTTATGAGCAAATTTCACGTAGAGGGATGGAATTCTGATTAAAAAGTGAAAACTATATTTTGGTGAAAACGTGAAAAATTATTGATTGAGCCCAAATTCAATCCTTTCATACAAACTGTGTCCTTGGACAGATCTTACTATTTCCTACTGTCAGTGCACCTGTTCCATCAAGACATAGGGATTAAAGAACATGCAAGTTGTAACTCCACAATAAAATTAAGAAACGTTTTGTTCTTTATACAAGGTTTTACTTTTACAAAAGTATCCCTTTAAATAAGATGCATCTGATGTACAAAGTATCAAACGTGGTTTTTTTTTTTTCTTCTCAGCTTGAAAAGAGGCTGGAAATGGGATGCAGGTTAGGTTCAAAGCTTAAACTTTGTAACAACTGGACACAAGGTTCCTCAGAATTGTCAAAAGTCTCTTGTGACACGTCCTACCACCTTTTCTCAATAAACAACAATATATGAAATAATTACCAAAACATCTCCTAATTCATATAATTTACATGATATAAGCTTGCCTGGTAGCAGCTGGTGTTCAGTCGTGAAAAAACACACAAAGTAAAATGGCTGCTGACTACAATGTACAGCTATTGCTGGGTGTGATGGAATGTACAAATGGAGGTCGATGTAGACAAGTTTTTTTTTCCACCAGAGATATTGCCTTTCCATGCAGCACTTGTGCTCTCAGCTTTAACTTGGCTTTTGGTTCTTCATTTGTCTTCAGTATCTGTTCTGATGCTCATAATGCCACCGATTAAAATCTATATTAAAAGCTACAATGCTACCAGAAGCCATGCCAGTGATCAGAGTCCTGGAAAAGCAGAGACAGTAGTTAAGAAAGACACAAAATCACTGATATGGTTCTACTTTACACTAAACAATAGCATGATCTCAAAGTTCACCAAGTTTTTGTTTTGTGTGTCCTGAGACGGGATTAAAATTTATTCTTGGTTCTCTTGAGAGAAGTTGACTCAATCCAACAAACACCTGGACTGCTGGACCAAGTGTTATCCACTTGATCCCACAGTTCATCAGATAAACACCTTTTTGAGGACAGCATCTTCACTGTCTGTTTATCTGTCAGTTTGTAACTCATGTGCATGTACTACTGTTTGAACATATCAGGGGCATTATAAAACATCAAGAATAACTGAAATTAGGGATGAGCTTGAAAAAGAAATAGAAACTTGATTAGTATCTTTCCTCACTCCTCCTGGGAGATGCTAACACAAATGCAGCTTTGCCCTGTGCGCTTTCATCTACTCTACCCATGTGAGAGGATGAGCATCTCATAAATACTCCTGCCCCCCGCACCCCTCGACAAGAGCTAATCCTTTTTCTGTTCCTGCGCTCCCGCCTCCCTCATATGTATTTATTATGATTATTGGAGCTCTTTGGGATTAGTGGTCTTGTTTTATATCCTTCAGACTGTGCACAGTCCTTAATATATGATGGTGCAGCAAATGTTTGCAACATGAATACATGAATGGATAAGAACACCAGGGGGAATCTTGAAATACTTAAGAACACAAATTATTTCCAATACTTTAGAAACATGAATCTATATACAAATAATTACACAGTAAACCACTCCCATTTTTCACAAATATGGACTATGCATTTTTGAATACTCTGCTTAAGTTTTATTAAAAAAAAGGTTGAGCTGCAGATCAAATATCCCTTCCCCAAGCTAACTTAAATTTTATTGCTTTTCTTGATGACTTCAGTATCATTTTACTATAGTGTGAAGATGCTTTATCATGTAAATCTTAATATTCATACTATTTTAAAACCAATACTCATAAAGAAGACATATACACATAGTTGAAATGAGTTGCTTAATAAACTTTTCTTATTTGTTAGATATATAGCAAAAATGAGAAATTATTTACCATATTAAGATTATATAGTTTTAATATTTATTTTTTAAATTTAGAAAATTTAGGCTTTACATTCCAAATATTCATTTCACTTCATAATAAATGCAAAGGCAAATTTTAGGAAATAACAAAATCCTGTTGCAAACTGAGGAATAATGGAAAACTATATTCCTTTGTTAACATTCTTACTGATTCTTTCCAAGTAAAGATTATAGTATCTTAGGGCAATACATCAAATACCACAAAATAACATAAATGAGAGATGTGTGAATAAGCAAATGGGGGGTAGAGACTGTTTCAAGTAACCGGTGCCTTGTGTTTGTAAAACAGAGGCCAGCTGTAGTCTGAACTTTGCATTTGGCTGCATTTAGCTAGACCTATGCCTCAAGCCAAGACTCTGCTAAAAAAATGTGTGTCTTTCACATTATGGAAGCCAGGCAGGCCTGTCTGAGACCAGGTAAAGATCTGAGAACAGAGAAGTTGGTGAAGATAACTCTACATCTTGGGAAGTGTCTAGATGAGTCTGTTTTTCTCCAGACTCATTTCTTTCTTTTTTCCCCTTATCCTCTCTTCCTGTTTCCTTCTTACCAGAATCCTAAAGTACTTACTCCTCGCCCTTTTCAACAACACTCTCTTCCATCTGGATGCTGGAGTATTTTTCATCACACGTTTCACCCTTGGTAAAATCTAAGGAACTTTCAATGACAACTCTTGAGTGATTACATTTCTCCCTGACATGGCTCACCTCTGGTCATGGGATAAGTCCATTGCTCTAATGCCAGCATCACAGCCGGGGTAAATGTACAGCTGCTTGAAGTCACAGGCCTGCCAGACCTCCACCACACCATTGTCCCCTCCGGTGACCAGGTTCTGCCCATCGCTACTCAGGAGAATGGCCTTCAGAGAAGGTAGAAAAGCAACCATTTCTTTCAGTGTTTCCCAAATGACCAGTGGTCACTACTGAAAGGCACTTACCATGGGTCCCTTGTCATTATCATCTACTTTTAGCCATTTGTCCAAGTTTTCTAAAGTCTAAGCCATAGATTTCCCAATGTGGAATTTATCAAAGTTCATCAAAGTAAGTCTTACAACAAAGGATTCTTTAAAACCAATTTAGGTTACAAAGTAACAGAAGTTCTAAAAAGAATATTACCAATCTAGTTCAGAAAGAACTTGAGAATTAAGTAACATGATGCTTGTTAAGTTCTGAATGCTAACAATGTCAAGACTTTTTAGAACAAATTGCAGAACACATTTCAAAACTGTTTTTAATAATGATAAACCAGAAATTCTAATTCATTTCTGAATGATGAGCAATTCAGTATGTAATTTTGGTACAGGGTTCGAAAGATAAGTTTCCATGACAATAAACTCACTTTTAAGGTCAGGAGAGTGCAGTGTAGGAACAGCTTTTTGTCAGGGGAGTTTAAGAAAAATCTCCTTAAACGTCTAGTAAGGGAGTGAGTGAAAGTCGCTCAGTCCTGTCCAACTCTTTGCGACCCCATGGACTATACTGTCCCTGAAATTCTTCAGGCCAGAATACTGGAGTGGGTAGCCTTTTCCTTCTCCAGGGGATCTTCCCAACCCAGGGATCGAACCCAGGTCTCCCTCATTGCAGGTGGATTCTTTCCCAGCTGAGCCACAAGGGAAGCCCAAGAATATTGGAGTGGGTAGTCTACCCTTTCTCCAGTGGATCTTCCTGACCCAGAAACTGAACTGGGGTCTCCTGCATTGCAGGCAGATTCTTTACCAACTGAGCTATCAGGGAAGCCCCCCTTAAGGGTCTAACCTCTAAACAAACAAGAGCTGTCACCTTCAAAGTTCAACTTACTGAGTTAACTACTTGAGGTTAAATGAACTCTGGCTTTGTTCAAAGCATCATCAATATGAATTTATATGTTTTTATAAACCAATACACCTTTACCTGGATACCCGAGAATTTCTACTACGAGTCACTGAATGCAAAATAGTCAATCTTTAACCTCTTGGCTCAGTCCCTAGTTAGACTGAACATGCAGATTTACCCGTGTTGAATCGTTGATCTCCATTTGAGCCAAAAGTTTTCCATTGATGCTGAAATTGCTGAATCGCCCTCGTTCATAGTAGATGATACAGTGGCCTTCACTGGAAACAGAAATCAAGCGTGGAAACAGGCAGTTTTCTGGTCCTTCGAGGGCTCTGAGCAAATCTCCAGTGATTGTGTGGACGAGGCAAGGGCCCTCTGCAGAGTAGGGAACAGCAATGGCCAGTCATAATACGCTCACAAACCCGCAATCAGTACTTGAATATACACTCAGGTTTGTAGGAAGAGGCAGAAAAGAAAGTTATGCTGGCAAGAGCCAAGCACTGATGTTAGATATCAAGAGACAACTATTACATGACACACACATGTGTCTTCCAAACTTTTCATCTAGGTAAATACTTGCTCTTTTCCTTCATGGGATAATATTCATTAAAACAGGATACAGTCCATATATTACATGAGAATAAAAGAGACTCTATGTCCCAGAAGTGTTCTCTTCATATGTGTTTAGAAAATTTTTCTCTAGAACATTTGGGGGAATTATCAAAACAATTGCTAAATTTCTTTAGTATCATCAAAATTTTAACACTGTGCTACATAAAAATACATACTATCAATGTACCTTTTCCATAGTCTATACATAAAATGTAAAAGGCAAAATTGAGAAAATTAATCAAGTAATTCAGACTGTAGCAACACTGTTTCAAATAAATGAAGAATCGGGCAAGAACGTAAAAGTAGTATGGGGAATGATTTATTCTGCTTCAACTGTTTCTCTCCCCCGCCTCAGGCAGAAACAGCACTGAGATAAAATATTCACTAGCCAAGTTCATAAAAATAATTGGTTAGCATAGTTTGGTATTACCTATCCCCCATATCCTTTAGAAATACTCCATAAAACTGTGTATGAATTTCATTCCTATTTTTCAATCAATTGATTTCAGTAGATATATCTTTTTCAAAATGAGTGACATTATGAGGCTATACCCAAATTTTTTCCTGATTACTAAAGTAATAGATGTACATTCCAGAAAATATGAAGAGTTAGAAAAATAGCAATCACTTGTAATATCAACCATCATATATAGAAAGTTACTGTTTTTTCCCTATGTGTATTATGTGTCTTGTATTTTCCTTTCCTTTTCTTTCTTTTGCTTTACAGAATAGAATGATATTATACATATTATTACTAAAACAGACATTAAAAGCAACTTATTGAAAATAGCTTTTGTATTCCTCCCTGGGTTATTTACTCTTAAATACAAAAACAAAGTGTCCCTACGTTCAGACATCATATCCTTTATGTATAAAGCAGTCAGAATAAGGTCCTAGAAACAAAATCTGATCATCTCATCATCTTGCTAAAAACCTTCAATGTTTTCCTACTATGCTCAAAACAAACACAAATTGCAAATCCTTGTGCCTCGGGTCTCCCGCCTCTTCAGCCTTCTGTCTCCTTAGCTCCGTGGTGTCCTCACCACACTCAGCCCCTCTGGTTTTCTTTCAGTTTCTCTTAAGCATTAGATTCCTTCCTGCCCCAGAACCTTCCATGGAGAATTGGTATCGGAGCCAGAATTAGAATCGAAGTTTCCTGACTTCTCCCGAAGCAGTACTTCCTCCATAAAAAGCCAAAAGAACTAAGTCATCATATTTCCTCTCCCACCTACCCAACCTTGAGAAGAAAGGACTAGCGGAGGGAGGCGGACCCAGGCCTCTGTCTGGTGAACCGCCTGAGCCCCCGTGGTCCCCCTGATCACGGCTCTCTCCCCCTTGGCTGCTGAGTGTGATTTGTAATGACTGCATCAGATGCGTGTGCTGCAGTTTGATTTACCAGTGTTCTGGCTAGAATGCTGGTGACCACAAAGTACTTCATAAAATTTTACATCTATCTTATATTAGTACTAGCAAATATTAATAAAACTAAACAGCTGCAAAGAACCTAGGGATTGCATTTGTCTACAGAGAGCCTCCTCAAGGAAATAAGTCATAAATCATGGTTAATTTGTGAAAACAGTACAGTTTTTAAAGACCTAAAATGAAAGAAATGTCTTCTGACCTTTAGCACCACTGATAACAAGTCCAAGTTCTGCACAGACAGAAACGCAGACAACTTCGTGGTCATGGCCCGTGAGGACAGCTCTTGGAGCAGGATAGTCACCTGGAAGGGAACAACAGCAGTGAGTGTCTACAGACCAACAGCAGGAATGAAGGGCTCCACCATTAAATCGAACACTTAAAAATAACAATCATTAATGTTTATTAATTTATTGTTTATATAAATTATTTATATATAATTTATATAATAAATTTTATTTATATATAATTTATATAATTTATATAAATAATAAATAAATTATATATAAATAATATAAATAAATAAATTTATTTACTAATAGCTGTGTGACTATGAGGCAGTTACTTAACCTCTCTGCTTTTTCCTTATCTGCAAAATGGGGAAACCTACTGTGCCTACTACACAGGAAGCTTTTGTTGTTGTTCAGTCACTCAGTTGTGTCCAACTCTTTGTGATCCCATGGACTGCAGCATGCCAGGCTTCCCTGTCCTTCACTGTCTCCCAGAGCTTGCTCAAACTCATGTCCATTGAGTTGGTGATGCCATCCAACCATCTCATCCTCTGTTGCCCCCTTCTTCTCCTGCCTTCAATCTTTCCCAGCATCAGGGTCTTTTCCCATGAGTTGGCTCTACACATTGTGGCCAAAGTATTGGAGCTTCAGCTTCAGCATCAGTCCTTCCAATGAATATTCAGGGTTGATTTCCTTTAGGATTGACTGGTTGGATCTCCTTGCAGTCCAAGGGACTCTCAATAGTCTCCAGCACCAGAGTTTGAAAGCATTAATTCTTCTTTATGGCTCAGCTCTCACATCCATACATGACTACTGGAAAAACCATAGCTTTGACTCAGGATGCTTAGATGATGGCTAAGTCAACAAATGTGACGTACTTATAACATCATGATAGTGGTGAGAAATACTGCTTTTTCTTCTTGATTACTGTTAAGAAATAGAAATCAAGCTTGCCAAAACATTTACATGGGTAATGTCATTTAATTATGACAGCATTCATAGGAGGAAGGTAAAATTATTGTTTCTATTTTATAGAACTCCAAAGCTTTGAAAGGTTGTTCAACTTACACAAGTTCATATAGGAACAAGTGTTGGAACTGAACCCAGAGCTAGGTAAATTTTGCAACCCTTGCTCTTACCCCTTTAAAAATGTTCCTTAAGATCTTCAACAAAACAGGCTGTGGTGCTTTGATTTTTTGGAGAAGAGACGATCAGATGATCATCTTAATTCTCCGTCTGACTGTACTGGTGCGATCCTGGCCAAGAACGCACAGCTGAATTATCTGCATCAACATTCTGACTGCCAAGTGCTTTGCCCTCTGTACTGAGTGCATGCCTTCCAAGTGACAGGTCTTCTAAGCCGGTTAGGAGTTGGGAGTATAAAAAAGACATAAGTTATAACCTGGAATTGCTTAGAACACATCAAACAACCATGGCACATCTTCCCCAGGTTGACCACTGGAGGCACTCAACAATGACAGTGTGAAGAACAAACGTGGGTGCACAGAGTGAAATGGGATTAAAAAAAAAAAAAAATCCACAAATGAATGGAGAGAAAAGCAGAATACTGGTGAATAAACTGCATGCATGTAAGACTGTGAGAAGGACCAGCAAAGTTGAGAGGGCTTCTTGCCCAGTGATGTCTTGCTGGGAAAGTCATTCGGAGAAGCCACTTTTGAGATGGAAATGAGGGATTGCCATAGTCTTGCTGCAAAAGTGTGGAGGAAGAGGAAACAACAGAAATTCAGAGAGGAATTTTGGAAGGTGCATTGGGTATGCTGCCATCCTGGGTACAGTCTGGAGTGGCTGCTTTGGTACATGGGAAAAGAAAGCCAGTGTCAGTGGTACAGGGCAGGATATGACCAACAGACTCTGAACTGAAACTCTGCTGAAGGCAAGGTGGTCAGAAAGAGGGACATGAAATGCTTATTAACAATACCATTTGGGTCTGGACTATTCATGTCAGATCCAACAAATATTTATCAATGCTTTGTAATATCCAACTATTTCTACTTTTCATTAACAACATCACACTTATTAATGCCTTATATTGCCTCTTTAATTATTAAATAGTTCCAGCAGACTTGTATGATTTTGTTATTCATCTTGGATGTATTGTTCAGTTGATTCTACAATATAATTTCAGCAAAGAACAAGTATTATACATAAATAAGCCTTTGTGCATATATAAAAATATCATTATTTCATGTTAAGTTGTCAGTATCACTGACTATTACTTTTTCTGCTTGAGAAGTCATGTTGTAACTTGGCCTTTTGACTGCAACTCTTCCAGAATTCTTGGTATTTATCAAATTATGGTCTGTGTATCCTGGGATCTGTGGCTATTTTCTTGAGACTGAAAAGTTTTATGAAAAATTCTAAATTTCAGATTTGCACTTTGATGATACTCTAAATTTTTAACCAGTTGTAAAGATGAAATCTCTCTCCACCATCAAAAATCTATGCTGCAGCAATTAAAAGTTGAAATGCACTTAAAGATTAAGATGAGCTAATTAAGTCAATGTTTCTCAAACTAGATTCAAGGGGTTCAAGAACACATTCCTTAGAGTCAGAGATTTTTGGGGAGTTAGTAATAATTTTGTACTTTTTAAAAGGGGTCAGTGTATTAGTTAAGTTTGAGGAATATTATTGTAGACTATTTTTTATTGATAATTAAAAAATTCAACTTTGCAGCTTCCACACAACTATGTGTATTTTCATTTGCTTTTAGATTAAAAACATTAATTATATATTAAATATTTATAGCATATATATATATATATATATGAGAATAAAATGAATTACCTTGTACTCACCCCCAGCTTAAAAATACAGAACATTACCAGTGACTTTAATGTCCCCTTTCTCATATTTTAGAAAATATTAAGACTTTTAAGAAAGTTCTGTATTTTTCTTTTCTGTTCACTCTGCTTCATCTGGTTGTTGAGTCTGTGATCTTTCCTTTATGCTGCCTGAGATCCTGCATGCTAGCCTGTTTTTCTCTGTGAACTCATACTTTTTTCTGAATCAGGCTGAACCCCCTCCTCCATCTCATCTCTCAGAGAGACGTCCTCTGCTTCCTGGGCTGCGCTCCCCTCACTGTGAAGAAGGCGGTGGAGGAAGTGAATGCCCAAGGGCTGGAGCTCGTGCCTGCCTCCTGGGTCAGCCCCTCCCCTGGCAATGATCCAGCCCTGGGCAGTGCTCTGATTCCCTGCCCCAAGTGGCGGGAGGGAAGGCTTCAACAGGTCATGCATGGAAAATTCTGTGTAGAAAGTGCGTAATGAAAGCACCCTACCTAGCAAGGTACTCAATACTCTTTCCCTCTGCCAATATCTCCTCCTTCAGACCCACTGTCTTCTGTCTCCAGGAACTGCCCACTGTTTTCTGTGTTTCCTCACATCCATCAGCTTCCATTTTGTGTTTGAGATATTTCTTACCTAGATGGTGAGTGGGAGGGGAAGCTAAAAGCCCATGTTAGTCTGTCATTTGATTCTGAATTTATGCTTCAAAGATGCCCTAAGTTCCCTGGCAAAATGAGGATTAATTACTGACAAGATTTTATGTGTAATACTATCCTTAATTTTTCTAAGTGATTATTTTATCTTGGCGAGACTCATGAACATCTTGCAATTATATATTTAATAAAATTTATATAGTTTTATAAACCTCTCCCCTATATGCCACAGAAAAAGTAAAAAGCAATATAGTTCTGTTGCAGAAATTTAAGAAATGTATAAAAATAGTAAACATATTCCTTAAGTATGTAATACATTTTCTGAGGAAGTAAGTTTTTCCAAGGCTTACCTCTGATTTAAAAGTTTTAAAGTGTTTTATTTTTCATTAAAATTTCCCCAAGTCATTTGAGTAAATTACAAAACTTAACTATTAGAAGATTTTGTAGGGTCCCTGAGAAGCATGGTTTCCTGCTTTCAACTACAGAAGAGTAAATAACATGTTATTCCAGGGTTTTGAGTTGGGGAATCTGCAGCGGCAGCGGGAGTCGGGGGGTAAACATATTCCCTATATTTCATTTCACTGCCAGGGACAGATGTCACCCACCCAGACAATCATTCACAATCCTAGAAATATTCTGTCAGTGTCACATCACAATTGATGGATGTAGCTGAGGGTCAAAGGGCGCTGCGCAGAGGGGGTGCAGGTGAGACCTCTCCTCTGAGGACCAAAGCACCGCTGCCCTCCTTCCAGAGTCACTTTGTCAGGAGAAGAGCTCTCTGTGTGATGGCATTACTATGAATGAAAAAAAAAATCCGATTTTGAGATTCCTCATAGGCAAGTATTTGGAAAGAGCAAATATACCAGGCTTACAATAAACAGATTCCATCTCATTTTTATCACAAGTCATTTCAATATTTTTTAAATGGATGATGAAAAAAGTACAAAGGTATCCGATGCTGCTATCCACATAGAACTGACAAGAGAGACTTTCAGCGTGATAGGCTGTGGCTTTCAGAGAAGTGATCAAAGTAAAGATTACTCATGGTTCTTATTATTTTAAACCTCATTTATGGGACTACTAATATGCAGGAGAAGCTTGGGTTCTTCTAAATTAGAGCTAAACAAAAACAGCAGAGATTTTCTATGATCCTCAGTGTGGTTCTGCTGGAGTCAGAAAATGAACCTCCTCATGATATATGATATTCAGATTTTATCCCTGGCCTTTGTGGGGTCATTGCAGAATCACCGCAGAAAGTATTTTCAGTCATGTTTATACTTATATAAAAATGATGGATTTTTGACCTGAGTTTCCAGAATAAGAGATTTCAAAGGGTGTGGTATTTTCATCAGTGCTCTCTGACTTCAAGATTTTGGAAAAAAAAAATGATGCTAGACCTCATTTGCTGAGGTAGCTTAGAAGATCTTAGTCGTGAGGAGTCCCTTCTTGAGATACCGTGTCCTCGGCCACCTGAGGGCTCGCTGCAGACATTTGTGGCCCAAGTACTAGAAACACCTGGGCCTGCATTTTCCACAGGTCACAAGGTAACCCACATAAAAACATTCCATGTGTTGGAAAAAGTCCCATGATGTGGTTTCATTTTATCATGCATTCATGGAA